CGTAAGTTTTTAACTCTTTGTTTACAAATGTATTCTTGAATAATAGTAAAACTACTTCCAAACAATTATTTAAATAAATTTATTTGTAAAATAATAATATATTTCTTGATCTTTAAACATGCTGTGAATAATGAAAAAATTCATGAAAATTGTAGTTTCAACCCAAATCGAATTGTGTTTTCATGCTTTGGTTTGATTTGGTTCTAAAATTTTCATTATTTGATTTAGTTACGAATTTTATAGAATTGTAAATAATGATTTGATCTTAATTTGCTTCAAAACCAAACTAATTCACGCTCAACCCTACCATGAGATTTGTGTGCTAGGATTAAGTGGAATTAAAAATTTATTTATTTATTTATTCATTTGTATGAATTTTTATTTTTTAAGCTTAAATTATCTATTGAAACAACAATTGAATGTGTTTTGGTTTACATTGCGCATTTAAATTACCATTACAAAATTTTAAGAGTAAATTACACTCATCTCCCCTACAATTTGAAAATTTTACAATTAGTCCTACATTTTTAACATAATTACACCAATCTCTTTGAAGGTTTTAATTTATATAATACTCGAATCTTTTCCTCAAAAAAAAAAAATAGCACTCAAATCTTTTTCATCAACAATTTACAAGTCATATAATTGTTTGGTTTTGGTTTCCAAAAACCACTTTTCAATGAATTTTTTTTAATATTCTAAGTATTTTTTAAAATTTTTAGACGCACCTAACATAAATACACTAAAAAGTATAATATTTGTAAAAAAAATTTAAAAAAATCACTAAATACCAACAACAACAACAATAACAACAAAAATACACACACAAAAATTCAATACATTTTTTATATTTTTGTGTATTTATTAATTTTTTAAAATATTTTTCACAAATATTTTTACTATTTAGATACATCTAAGTAATGTGAATCCAAAAAAGTAAAAAAATTATTTAAAAATTTAAAAATATTCACTGCAAACAAAAAAAAAACACAAAAAACGAAAAACTCAATTTCAAAAAATTGAATTCAAAAAACTAAAACCAAACACATTTATTATTTATCTATTTACCTACCATTTGCATTAATTTGATGATTTTAATTTTATTAAAAGGATATTAGTGTAATTATATCAAACTAGTAAGGCGAACTATTTTTTTGTCAAACCATAAGGGAGGAGAGTGTAGTTCACCCAAATTTTATTGTATATTGCAAACAATCACATGACTTGGGGTTCAAAACTGGAGAAATAATATGAATTACTAATGCGTTGTGCTGAACAATTCAAAAGGAATATCTAAATCCATTGGTAGAGTTTTTTTTTCAAATTTTATTTCATCAAATCCATGTGATTTTAAATTTTATAATTCACTGCGCAAACATTAGCTCCAACAATAAAATTTCACAACATCAATGTTAATTCAAACAATAAAATAATAATTATTTGCAGATCAATGAAAGTGCAAATGAAAACTGTGACCCAGAACACAACATTCACTTGAGCATACATCTCACTTGCATGCTATTGATTTACAATTAATTTTTCTCATTTTTTACACTTTACTATAGTTCTCAATATGTTCTACTTACATCATCTACAATAACATGTCATTGAATCCAAAGAAGTAAAACTTCTGCAAACCAATACCCAAAAACCAAAAGTTCAAGGTCTCAAAAAATTCTTTCTTGTGCTGACACAATAAAGAACTAGAACAAAAAAAGAAACTTCACCATATTTTCCAAAAATAGCAACAAGGTATGGTTTGCCAACAAAATAGCTCCTGCATAACTACACCTAAAAGCAAACTTTCACTTGCTGAAGCACTACTACGATCCATCAGTCTTCCTCCAAGAAAAAAGGGTTTGGTTCCTTTCCAACGCTTTAGCCTCTGCACATCCGGTTCATTAAATTATAAGTCAGACAGTAGCATACTCTAATCAAAACCAGTTTGGATCTTTCAAATGAACTTTGTCATAAATTTTTTGGAAGACTAGTTTGTCAGATTTTCTACAATTGGCCCCAGTCTAGACGCGATCCTATATAATGATAAGAGTAGTTACTCCATTACTTGGCACAAGGTTATTTTTCAGCAAAAAATGTACCAAAAAAGGGAACATGATACATTTACACACGAGCACAAATTAGGAATTGATGAGTGAATATACAGAAGAAATGCACACCAATCTATATTCATACTAGTGGCATCAGAGAGATTACTGGTCTACCTGTAGAGATGAATTATATAACTGCTACAGAGTTTTACCTAAACAACATGCACCATTTGGATTTTCCACACGAATGTCACAATAATGAATAATGACCTCAAATCTTTGCCATAACATTAAGCATGGATAAATCAATTTAAGTATGACATGATTGTTACAGGAAAGTAACTGTCAGTACTGAATCCTAATAAATCTAATGAACTTGCACCACAGCAGCATACAGCTAAATTTATTTCCAAACAGCTACACAAGTGTAATATCTTCACAATATGACCAATCTTGCCAGTGGGTTGGCATTCATAACGATGATCCTATGAATACTTTGTGGTCCGTGATAATGGTTTCAGGTGAATTTCATTCTACCCAAAACACTATACTTTTATAGAGAGCCCAGAGCATATATTGCAGTCGACACCAGCCCAAACACCTCTGATATCACGTATGCCACGGATGTCTAGTAATTTTTTCTTGCTCTTTATTTATTTATTTTACTCTTCTTTTTTCTGTTCTTTTCTTTTCGGCTTCTTTTTTTTCTTTCTTTCTTTCTTTTTTTTAAGAAAATGAACTTAACAATTAGACTTCATGTGACTGAAAACAGCAGCAGCCAAACTTGAGCGTGAGCGAACCCTTAAAGAGGAATGTAAATCTCCATGCTTTGCTTTTTTTTGTCTTGGGTCAAGAGAATTGAAGGGACTCTGCAAGAGAGCTTATGTTCGCACCAACTGCATGAACTTTTATGAGGAGCCATGAAAAAGGCTGGATATAATGATTGAGAAATCAGGTTGTTTTCGCCAATCAGATTGGATAAACAGCTTCAAAACTCCAAGCTGAAGTTTCAGAAATCAGAGGGGATGAAATAAGAAGACTCAAACCTATTCTATCCGCCCTCAATCCTAATATTTCTCACTACCACACCAAGGGTTGTGATTGTAACTCCAAGTATAAAGGATCCATCACTATCATTATGAATCCCCCGAGGGATGTTGGTCCAAACGTAGAAGGCACAGGGAACCTCTGGCTCTTCCCCTTTCGAAGATTGGCAGGGGCAGGAGGCAGTTTCCAAACTCTAATAATGCCTGAGGGTTTTGATAACAGTCTTCTGGGGGAACACAGAATCCCTCAAATTGAAAATCATTGATTTATGACATGGTGGTAAGGAGGAAAAAGAGTTATAGAACAAGAAGCCACATCAAGGAAAATGCTGAAGGCAAAGGAGAGCTAGTTTTTTCATTATTATTAAAATACCTCAATAATATTGGTTGAAAGATAGAATAATGCAAAAGGTCCTGTTCTCGTATTCTATTCCATAGCATATGCCACTCCTCGACATTAATTATCACTCGAACTTCCCTAATAGGTATACCACAATACTAGGTAGTCAAAATTTCAAGTTAAAGTAAAACGCACTTGGCAGATGAAAGCTATGAGGCAAATATAGACGAAGTATTTGTGAAGCCATACCGATCACAAGCTCTTCTTCTACCCAAACCAAACCTGCTGCCTTCCAATCAAGTATATTTCATTGTGAAGAAGAAGAAGATGGTAGGCAGCTCCAGGCTCTTCCAAACTTAAATCCTTATTTACATAATGTGTTCTTCTAAAAAACAAAAGCAACCCCAAAAGCAGCTATAACGTATTTGGGTATAGATACAAGGGAGGATAAAAACACAAACATTTGGACTGGACTTGCAAAGGTTAAAACACTTAACAATAAGCAAGAATCTGACTTGGCCTTTTGTCACACACTGGCAATGCGGAAACCTTGACAAAGATATGCAAGTGTGTGTGGCGCTAGTTAACTCTCTTCACTAGCCCGTCAATAATGCTCAAAAGGTTTGCAAAGACAAGCAAACACAATATTAGTTAAGTTGTTGAGCCACAAGATTGGAGACAAGCCACAAAATAGCAATCAACAAACTAAAATTAAAATAAGCAACAATTGAATGGCTTTGCACAATTTAAAGGCGAAATGAATTTTTCATTACTCAAAAGAAGGGCATTACAATAGTTGAATAATACACCAAAAGTGCTACAAAAGTTGCCTTACCATAAGCTAGGTTGGGGTACATTAAAGGCACAAGTGGTCTGGTTCAACACTTAGGTACCCCCTCCTTAATATAACTTGTTAAGCTTTTTCCTAGCTGGCAGAAAGAAACATCCAGTATGTTTGAAGAGTCATAATGGATTTTTAAAAATTCTACAAAAAGAGAAAAATTACAACTCTTGGTCTCAAAACACCTTTAATACTAAGGTATTTACATAAAAATTTACAAGGCAAAAAGATTACATTTGACCTTCTAAAAGTTGGCCTAAAATTGCTACTTGGTGGCTAGGTTGCTTCATGGCATGTCTTGGACTATCTTGCACTAAGCCTTGGGTCTTTGCTTGCACTTGCACCAACAACTTCTTAAGCATGTCTTTGGCTCTCCAAAGAGAGCAAATGTGTGTGGCATCAAGGTGTTGACTCTAAATTCAAAACTCCATCCTAACAAATTTTGTGACAGCGCATTTGTGAAAGTACATAACACAAATGAGTTTGGTCAAGACTAAACTTCAACAAAGCCAAAATGCCAAACAACAGAAATATATAGTGGACAAACATGACATAGAGCAAATTATCAGCAAGTATAACATATACAAGAGCTTCCATGGCAGATGCTAAAAACTCTTAATGATGCATAACGATTTCAATTTCAAAAATTTACTTTCACAAAACCAAAAAAAGAAAAAAAAAAAAACACAAATACAAATACAATTATGTACCTGCATTGGCGACTGTTAACACACGAAAGAAAATTTCTCTCTTTTGGCAACATCCCTGAGGGAAACAAAACTCGGAACATGAGCAGTCCCATAAAATTCTGATTTAATCCCATAAGTATTTAGCTTCTTAAATTTACCCAACTTAGGATTATACATCTTGAGAGCATCCTTGTTAACAAGCATCAAGATTTCATCACTCTTTAGAATCATGATTGGCTCATAACAGTCCAAATTTCCTCTCTTACCAATCCCATTTTCAATAACCAACTCTTTGCTCCATGATTCCGTAATCCCATAATCTTTCATTAACCACATATCCATACGAAGAGGACTAGAAAAATCACAAATGGAGAGACTACCTCGTAGCACACTCACACGAATATGATCCGAAAACTCCTTACGCAGACCAAACTCAGGAGGTTCAGGAACAACCCGAAATTCCTCGCTATCAAAATCAAAACATCGAATGAAATCAGGACTATCACACGTAAAATTAAGCCAATGAAGAGCTCCATTCACGAAAGAATTGAACAAGCGATTCGTCAAATAATAAGGAACACTACCCAAGTTTCTCCACAACCCACCAATTGTGTAAATCGTAGCCTTTGGATCATCACGATAAGTCTTTAACTCAGTAATGGGGTTGATTGACTCGACAACCCGTTCGATAAAAAACCGTATAACCTTGTATTAATTAGTCCTGAGACTAAACCCAAAAGCAGTAGCAGTGGGAACACAATGTCCATCATAGGTTGCATATGGTAAGGTAATGTACTCGCCAAGAATCGGATTACACACATAAATCACAGAAATGTGGCACAAACAGAGCAACCCATTACAAGAATTCACAATTTCTTGACCCGCATATGGGATGTTGATTTCAGAAGTGAGCTTGAGATGGGCTTCGCGGGGATGGGTTTTGTGGAGGATTTGGAGGTCGTACAAGCGGAATTGTCTGGATGCTCTGAAGATGGGTTTGATCAAGAGGCTAATGGGTGATCTTGGGAGGTGGAATTTAGCGAAGTGTGGGTCTGAGATTAAGAAAACCATTCTTTGCAAACGAGTTGGCAACGAAAGAGGGATTTGATGGGGGAGTCTGGAGAGGATTTCGAGGATGATTTGGATTGGAACTTGTTCTGGGATGGACTGTTTGTTCTTCCTCTTCTTCTTCTTCTTCGATATGATACTCTGCTTCATCATTTTTTTTTTTAATATTGAAAGGATTAGAAAGGACTCTAGGCCCCGTTTGTTTTGGGTTATAGCAAGGGGATTAGGATTACTAGTACCTTGGGATTAGTATATGGGGTGTTTGTTTTGAGAGATAGGCTAGGGACTATTAATACCTTGGGACTAACTAATACCTTGGTATTACTAATACCTTGTTTGTTTTGAGAGATAGGGAGGGTACTACTAATACCTTGGTATTACTAATACCCTTGGGGAGGGGATTCATAGTGAGGAGGTAGAGATGGTATTAGAAAAATAGTGAGGGGATTAGAAATTTTTTTATTTTTTTTATTTTTTATATATTGGAAATTTTTTTTTTTGCAAACGAGTTGGCAATGGAAGAGGGATTTGATGGGGAGTCTGGAGAGGATTTCGAGGATGACTTGGATTGGAACTTGTTCTGGGATGGACTGTTTGTTCTTCTTCTTCTTCGATATGATACTCTGCTTCATCATTTTTTTTTTTTGTCAAGATTGCAAGGATTTGAAAGGAGTGATCGATCTCTACAATGGTATTGATAGCAATGTGCTTAAGATGTGATGTTAATCAAGGGTTTGGGAGGTTGGTTTGGGAGGGAACTGGAACAAAAAAGTCCCGCCAGAATATTGGGTAAAAACTATAAATCCAAAAAAAAATTCACTAAAAAAAAAAGGAGTACATTTTTTAGGGGAAATTCTAATATCTTCTTATGTGATTTTTTCTTCTGAATGTTCAATTTTCTTCTTTAGTTATAGTATTATTTTAATTATAACTCATAAATTCTTTAATTATGCTTTAAGTTGTGTTTAGTTATAATTTAAAAAATTAAAATTATGTTACTTTTCTTTTTAATTATAAAATATATATGGTACATATCTTTTTAAGAGAATTATATTGACATGGGTTAGTCAAAAAATATTTACAAGAAATTAAAAAATATTATAAATATTTATAATTTTTTTATTAATTTGTAATTTTCTTTCACTGTTATTACTATTATGTAATTCTCTCAAATTTTTGTTTATGTCTCATTTGCTAACTCATTGTTTTAATTTAAAAGTCAAAAAGTATTAAAAAAATTAAAAAACCAACAATATATATAAAAAAGTCAAAGATTCTATTTGTTTTCTATTTTTTGTACATCCTTTCCTAAGAATCTAAAAAGTTATTCTAAACATACTAATTTTTTTCACCTCATATTTTAATCAAAAAATTAAAAAATTACTAAAATAACATGTTCCTAAACGACGCCTTATTATTAGTTTTAGTGATTTTTTTTTTTTTTTTACCTTTTTGGACCCGTAAAATTAAGCCAATTAAAATTTGGCTGGTCTAATAGAGTATATTTTAAAAGTCAAAAGCTTTTTTTTTTTTTTTTAAAAAAAAAAGCCAAAAAATCAGTAAAAAATTGCATTAGGTTTTGAGTTTCAAAAAGCCTTAGCCCCCGTTTGGCATGTTAGAGTATCTCTAATAGTATTTGTTATAATACAATTGCCATTGTTATAATTTGGCAGTGAATAGTAGTAATTTGCCAAATTATAGCAATGGTACTCGAATGGTACACATGTTATTTTGGCAATTTTAACCAATTTTCCCTTTAAGTTTGTAGGTGTTGTTTGGATATAGGGTTTTAGTAACTTTTTTTTGTTTAATTTTTTGTCTTTTGTGACTATTTTTTAACTGTTTGCACCAAAAAAAATTATATATTTACATTATACCCGACTAGATAAATATAAAAAAATGAAAAACAAATTGAAAAATTGAAAAACAAATATACAATTCACCCCACCAAAATACAAACCACTACAAAAAATAAATAAATAAATAAATAAAATGTAATTCACCCTTACCGTTGAATCTTTATATAATCTAACGGCTGAGATCGACTTCTAGAATCATCTTCCCCTCTCTTCCCAAGTCGCTTTCTCTCTCTCTTTCACTCTCACCTCTCTGTTTCTTTTTTCTCTTCAACTTTCTCTCATTCTTTCTCTCACTCATCACCGATCAACGATCACCTCATCACCAATTACCGATCACCGACTCCCACCTCTCTGTTTCTCTTTCTCTTCAGTTTTCTCTCACTCTTTCTCTCATTTATCACCGATCACCGATCATCGATCCTCATCATCTCTCTGATGATGAACCTCTCTCTCTCTCTCTCTCTCTCTCTCTCTCTCTCTCTCTCTTGCCCTTCAAATCTTAAATCGTTTGAGAAACCCGAAACCCATGAAATCGAAGATGAAGACGAAGATGACGAGGAGCAAACAAACCCTAAATCATCCATGCCCCTCTATTCCTTCATTGGATCTATCATTCTGATGAAGATCAAGATCAATCCAACGAAACCCTCTATTGATCAGTCCATCTCTCTCTCACAATCTGGGCATCTCTCACTTCTTGGTGTTCAACGATCCCTCCAAGTTTTTCTTTCTATATTTATTCTTAATATTTTTTTTCCATAGCCATTTTGTATTGGTGAAATTTGTTGAAATTTGCAAAATTTGTTGAAATTTGTTTCAAAGCTATAAATTGGTGAAATTTGTGTTTGGGAAAGGCACAAATTGGTGAATTTGGTGATTATTTTTTTTTTAGATGCACCTTGAAATAACAAATTGGTGAATTCTGTTTTTTTTTTTTTTAAATGCTGAATTTTGTTTAAAAAAAAAAATTCAAACATTTTTGGGAGGTTTTTCTAGAAAATGCCCAACTGAAAGGGAAGGAGTGAAGGAAGAAAGCAGTTGGTTTTTGGGTGACCTGGCAAATTTGGTAGCTGCTATAGCATGCCATTGGAAAAGCCATTTTTGCCCAAGCTGCCATATTATGGCTTTGGCAGCTATTTTAGCAATGCATTGGAGATGCTCTTAGGTTGGGGGACTTTTTGCTAAAATAGTCACACAAAAAAACAAAAAAAATCAATAAGATAAAATGTCACATTCAAATCATAATCATTTTACTTTTTCTCTCACAAAAGTCAAAAAGTCCAACCCAAACGAGGTTTAGCCCTAGGCTAAAATAGTCAAATAACCAATCCACTTCCCAAACGAAACCTTATAATCTATAAATTTAACTAGAAATTTAATGTGTGATTTAGATGTAATTCTTGTATTGTAGAATTCGTGAAAAATTCTACTACACAGACCTCATATCATATATGCTCTTAAGTTATACTATATATATATTTTTTAGTTATAACTAATTTTCTTCTTATTATGACCTTATTTTAGTTATGACTCATGAGATCGTTAATTATGCCTCATGTATTGTTTAGTTATAACTTTTTATTTTTATTTTTTAATTATGACTCTAAAAATATGAAATTATGTCATTTTATTATTTAGTTATAAGGTACATATGGTACACACCGTTTGAGAGGTGTGTACCATAATCTTTTTGAAAACTCATACATAAAATGAATATCAATCATCTTCTTTCTTTTTCTTTCTTTTTCTTTTTTTTTTTTTGAGTATTTTGAGTTTTGTTTTGCAAAATTGGCAAACCTTAAGTTACAACATTAGCTAGATAATAGAATTCTCCTTATTATTAAATTAGTGCACTAAGAGCATCTCCAATGGGAGCTATTATTGTCAAAATTTGGCAGCAAACAGATCAAACCTTGCTAAGTTATGGCAACTATCAAATTTGGCAAATGCCAAAGCTTGTGTCAAATTTGACACAAGTTTTGGCAGGTACCATAACTGCCAACTCACCAAAACAGCAGCCCTCCCTCCCTCCTAGTAAAACATTCCTCCCTTCCTCCCGTCTGTCATTTTTATAGACGAAAGCTGAAAACCGGTGTGTGGGGAGACGTCTGACCGAACAATCGGCCGGACGTCCCCCACACACCAATTTCTGTGTCAAAATGACAAAAATGACTGCTCTCTATTGGAGCACCATTGCTATAATTCTACCAAAAGTCTACTATTCATTGCCATAATTTGGCAATGACAATACTATTATACCATTTACCATTATAAATGCTCTAATGAAAATGTATATCAAACTTAGATTTGTGCCTAAGATCAGCAATTCCATTTCTCATCTCATTGGTTTGTTTCATTACTCTCCCTCAAGTTTACATTTAAATTTGAAAAAACTTAAAAAGTTTGCGATGTTGGTTACTGATCCCGTTTAATTATTAATACCGTTAATTTAATAATAAAAAAATTAAGTTGATTCGATAATCTTAACTTTTCTATTTTATCGTATTTTATTTAAAAAATAAATTATTTATTTTTTAAAAAAATTGTCGTCCATTTTTATAGGGACAAATTACAGTGCTAGTCCCTATACTTTGACCCTTGTGTCATTTTGGTCCTTATAATTTTAATTGGATCAATTTTGATCCCGAATTTTTTATTTTTTATTTTTTATTAAATTGATCCAATTGATTTCAATCATTACCATTTTTTAATGGAAAATGCACACATAAGCAATGTGTGTCATATTTTTAGGGCCAAAATTATGAACTTGATCAATTTAGTAATTTAACATCAATCAACTCAATGATCATTTTCTATCAAAAAGTCTAACGGTTTTATTAATTGGATCAAATTGACTGATGGATTGTTTCACACACCAAAAATAAACACTAAACTATACCAAATTCTTTAGAATAATTGTAAGTCCAATTATCAATCCACAGGGACAAACGGGAAATTAAACTAATTTAAATATTAAATTCTTAAATTAGTTTTGATGAAAAAGATAGTTGTTCATAACATAATGATAATTAAATTAAACAAAGTGAATAAACTAGCAATTATAAATAAGGATGAAATTACCGATTTTGGAAAAAACCTAGGGTAATAAATTCACCACTAGTTGCATAAATAAGGTTTCAATTTGATAATCAATTATGTTACGATTCGAACTAAATAATACAAGTTTAAAGCATTGATCAAGAAAATTATTACGTTCAATGTATGGGCATGAACCAGCTCGAGTAGTACGAGTCGTTGGCTCTAAACTACGGTAGTAACATGACTCGTCCCTCG